CGTTTTTTTTTTTGCGGACTGTACAACTTCGTAGCCTTGTAATTTTGAATCCAATCCAGAAGACAAAAGAACTTCTCGATCAAGTACTGGGGGAAGTTTTGCTGCGGGGAGGTCTGTCTGATGTAACTAACCATCATTTGCGTTTCATGGAGAGGAAAACCACGATAGAGCTAACCCGCATTAATGTTAGATGGGGAGGAAGAAAACGAGAACATCCCACTGTTAGCCTGAAAGCAAGGTGACTCTAACCCATGATCCATCTACCACTGAGGATATTTTATGTCAGCACTGTGGTCGGTGTGAGGCGGGTGAGAAATTTGCTTCGATCATCCATTGCTGGGATTCGAACTCGGTTCACCCAATTAGAAGGCGAACGCTCCATCCCCTGAGCCACCACCGCTCAATAATATGTATTAATTGAAATAAAGAAAGTTACTTATCTACTAAAGAGTAAAGAGGAAGGATACTTAATAGTTTTGGGGATATTATTATTCTCCGTATTATTATTGTTACCAATGCTTAACTAATATTGGTAACATGTATTAATTAAAATTAAAAAAAAAAACAAAGTTAATGAAGAAAAGATTAATGGGAAACTCATTTAGTGGAACAGTAGAAATTTGCCATAAGCTTATGATGCTAAATTTTGGTAATATATGCTACTGGTATTATGGTAATTGGTGCAGGTTTATAAGAATTCTACTAAGGGTCTACGTAGTTTGAGAAAATATTTTTCCAGTGGTAACAAAGACAGCGTGTTAATATTTAAATGAATTAGAATTAAAAGAACTTTTTTCGACCTCTGCTTATAATTTTAACAGTAAATTAAAGGTCAGTCAGATAGAGAAATTGTCATACTCTAAAGTTCTTATCAAAGTCTTTTAACAATTCTACTCATTTTTTAAAATTTTGGCTTTAATTTGCTGCTACTGATAAATGTATCTCGCACAAAATTAAAATGTTGAAGGGTTATGCAATAAGTAGCAAATATATTAATATAGGTATAAAGTATTATACTGAAATAATTGTTGATTATTAAAACTGCAAAAATGCTGTTTTAATACAGATACTGTGGAAATACTCGTCTTACTGGTTCTTGAAAGTGACATGTGTCTGATAAATTTATTTGATAGTTGTAAATTTTGATTATTATGTTTGACAACCGCTCCGCGAGTAATATTATGACACCAAGTGATGCTAAATACAGTTAATATCTATTTTGATGGGATGAACTACAGTGCTTTTCTTAATATAATAATGTAAAGCAACCGGAAAGAGCAAAAAATAATAATAAATAAAAAATTTGAAATTGCTTCAGTTTATTTATTGAAGAGCTGAGTTGAAAAACCAGGTAAGTGACATTTTCTGAGAGGCTATGATTAGGCTTAGAAGAAAAAAAGTGGTAACTGAATTCGTAAATTAACCAATTTATTAGAAGGTGGGACTAATAGTTTTGAGTCTTATTTTAATTACAGCTTCTTAATTTAAAAATAATAATTCTGAAAGCATACTAATAACTAGCGTGGATTAGTTATTATTAAGATTAAAGTGAAACCAAAAACATTTCAGTTACGCTAAACCTACTCACATTGATGCAAACACTTTATTTTATTTTCACTGATTCATAAATACCCCTAAAATGTCACTTACCTGGTTCTTTCACTAAACTCATTGTATCGTGCTGTCAGATCTGTGTATATCTTTTAGTGTATGTTCAGTACTGACTAATTTATTTTTTTTATTCCCCCCATGCGAGGAACGGGTATTCAGCTAGTATACATAATAGTAGGAAAAAAAAAAGAAACATCATAAGTAACTCCTTATCTACGTAATGATTTATCTGCAGAAACAGCGGAAATAACTTTTAATTTACATAATAATAGATCAGGAGAAACAGCGTCAATAATTCCTAATCTACATAATTGTCCCTTTTCAGAAAAGGGAAACGAATAATATTTTGTTATTTCAAAAGTTTGCAAAGGGGGAAAAATTGAGAATACGAAAATCAAACTTTAACCTATTAAAGTCCAAGATGGCGAGGAAAGAAGCATCTGAAAATAAACTTTAAAAAAAAAACAAAAAACATTTATAGCTTGACATTGTTTAACAATGAACCTTTCAATTATACTGAATAAAACTACTCAAACTAGTAACATATCCTTCAAACAAATTTTAAATTTATACGTTAAATGTTTTATCAATAGACTTACACATTTTTTTGTTTAAATTCCCCACGCAGCCCCTAAACGGTTATTCAAGAGTAGTTCTATCCTAAAGCATTAAGATTACGAGGCATCAATGATTTCTGATATTGTGATGTCTTTTAAAATCACTACCCCCTTCCCGCAAGAACAGAGAACTCTATATCTTGCTGCGTATTGCTTAGGAAACTAAGTTATTATTCTTAGTCTATCGTTGGTATATGCATAAAATAAAGCATACTATGTGCACATGCATGCACGTATGTATATTTTAATGTACAGTAAGCAACAGCATAAATTCAAACGGATATAGTATACATAACAAAAATATGCACACAACAGGCATTTTAACATAGATATGCAAATGATGTGCTCTTTAGAAGGTATTTTCAAATTGAGTCAAAAAAACTCGTGAACTAGTGGTACTGCTAATAAGAAGAAAAGAAAAAAAGAGGCTACGAAACAACGCTCTTAAATTAATCCACAATGTGCAGCAACAACATGGCATAATCTGAGAACAAGATTAATAGATGCCCAAGCAAGTAATTCAGTTGTATTGCAGCAGAAAAGACTGATAAATTGTTCCCTTCCTTTTCCAATAAGTAGTGTCATCTGTTAGTAAGATTTGTTACTAACTTTGAAAATTGGTTAGAAACAATTTGTTTCCTACAGAGAGAAAGCAGCCAGTCGTACATGCATAGATTTCTTTCTTTCTTTCTTTTTTTTAAAAATCTTTTCTCAAATTGTCACTCATTTTTGAAACATTGGTTACTTTACAATATTTATACAAAATGTAACATAATTATTCAAAATTTTCATAATATCCTGTATAATATGCTATAAACATGTTATGAAGATTACTTTGAATTTCTTTTTTTCACAACGAGTTAAAAAATTATTCACTTTTTATTTTATTTTACATAATATCTTTCGTGTCACAACTATCGTAAAAATGTCGCCATTCATGGAGTTTCCGACAAATTGTGAGGTGAGTCTAATGCGAACTTCTTGAGAGAAAAATCAGTTTTTTGACTGAGAGATCTATTCCATGGACCAGTGTGCTTTTTTGTACCACATAACCATATGCTCGTTGTTTTTAGGCATGTATTCAACTGGACCTGAAATAAATAATTCATTAGAGTTGAGAATCGCTCTATTCAACCAGGGATTTATTCCACAATTTCTTTTAGAATACGACTGGTTACTACTTTGCTTGTGGATTCTTTTTTAACCGAAAATTTCCAGCGCAACGAAAGGATAATACCGCTATTTCTTTTAATATAAATTAATTATAAATAATCTGTTGATGTATTAGTTTTTTCATTGCATGAGAGTAAGTATTTTAGTACGTTAGTTTCAGTTTCAATGGAACTACCTACCTTTAATCGAACTACCTCAAATCAAACCAGCAGACCTCTATAATTTGCTGTTAATGTAGTTTGTAAGAGTTCTAATTGAATGATAGGTACAATGCACAAAATAAAAAACGGAGCCTCTTGAAAACTTTTCATCTAATGATCAAATTTTCTAGTAGAAGACTCTATCCTAGTGATTCTCGGGTCTAACCTTAAATTTGCTTATTAATTAATTCACGAATTACGAAATTTACGAATTTATTAATTTACGAATCAGATAAAACATTCACTTCTTAAAAAAAAAAATAAAAGTTCCTTTTTATCCCAATGGATTTCGTAATCTGGTAAATATTGCCACGATAGTTTAATCAGGAGAGTGGTTGAAAGTTTAGGCATCTTAATGCTTATTTTATCTCTGCATAGTTTATTGTATCTCGGAAACTTTTTAAGCCAATCAAATCTTACGAAAAAGTGTATGTTTAGTTTTTGAAAATGAATTTCGTCTTAAAGTATTCTCCGTATTAATTAATCAGCATACTTAGGAATGGAAGTTTGAACTACTGGAACTGATTTTCTTTAAATCCAAACATTAGACTAAGAGTAATTCAATGTGGTTGATTTTTTAATTTGCGTACTGGGCACTATTTTTAATTTCAGATACTTAAACCTGGTGACCTCTATTATTCTTTGTTAGTGTGATTGGAACTTGCATCAAATAAATAATAAGTACATTGCGCAAAAAAAAAGAGAACAGGACCACCCTGCATTAGTTTTGATCTAATGTTTCTTCACGTTTTAGGGCTCAATCTTCATGGTCCGAGGGGGTAACCTCAAATCTGCTAATTAATTGACGCAGGCGATAAAGTCCGATTTTTGTTTTGCTCTCTGTACATGCGGCTTATCGACCTTTGATTCTGAAGTCGTGTTCTTTATATTTTTCGCGCATATATGGCACTTTTACTCCACCACCATTAGCTAAATGGAGATGCAGTAGCCATACCTACTGTCACATAAGTTGAAGTTAACATTGCTTGTAAATTGTTACTTTGATTTAAATTAGTAACATTGCTTACCTTATCATTTAAACATGCATATTATTGCTCAATTTGATTTGAAGGAATCAGTTTGTTTTGTAAACATGTTTACCATTGCCCGTTTTGTATAAGCACAAGTGCTATTGATTAAATATCTATAAGCACAAGTGCCAGGACATAATTTGATTTATAATATTAACACTATTGCTTGCTTTGTTCGTAAGCATATGTGCTATTGTTTGCTTTGACTATGTACCACTGATTACTTTATTCCGAAAGCATTAGTACCATTGCTTACATAAATTTATAAGCATAAAGAGCTATTGCTTACTTTGATTTATAAGTGTTGTAATATTTGAAGCGTCGATGGAATAAAGGAACCAGAATTTTCCACTCTCAGGATCGTCTTCGATTTTTGCTACCGAGTACACATACGGCTTCGAGGATCTTGTAGTGTTTTCAAACCTTGTAAAACAAAACAAAAAAATTAATACTTTTTATCTATGTAGATGTGAATATTTTCTGAGTGACACATAGATCAGTATCATTTTTTAGATATTTTCGATCCCCCACCCACCCCCCGTTGATATCGCTGGTGTCACACTATATAAACCTCAAAAATTTGATTTTCAAAATACCACACTTATATCTTTCTTAAATATACACTGGTGGACATTTTCGCACATTCATTTGCACATGCAAGATAGCCGCACAACGCTCCATTTGTTTGACAATGGTTCCGTGAATGCCCAGAGGTACAGGCAGGAGATCCTAGAGCCCTATGTGCGTCTTTTCAGGGGCGCTGTTGGTCCTGAGCTCATTTTTATGGATGACAATGCGCGACCACATAGGGCTCTCTTGGTTGATGAGTGTCTGGAAAGCGGGGATATTCAACGAATGGATTGGCCAGCCAAATCCCCTGACCTGAATACTATTGAACATGCTTAAGATGATCTTGGGAGAGCTATTGCCACGCGTCAACCTCCCCCCAGAACCATTCTGGAGTTAAAAATTGCTCTGGTGGAAGAATGGGAGGGTCTTCCACAAATCCTCTTTAACTCCCTTATTAACAGCATGCATACTCGTTGTGCATGCTGCCTGTCTGTTAGGGGTGACCATACACCATACTAGAGGCAACACACACTGTACAAGCCTCACTTTTACTGTCATCTTTTATCCTTGAAGTTCAGACTACATTGGATTTATTGGCAATAGGTTTTGCCAGGGAATGGCACTTTCATTTTTGTTTTGCATACTTTATAATCATGGACTAAGCTATATCCATACCAAATTTCATTTATTTATATTCAGTATTTTTTGAGATATTTGGGAAAATGTTTTCCATCTCTCAATTTTGTCCACCAGTGAAATTTGTCATCCCCTAACATTCACAGCGTTATTATTCACAAAAATGTCTTCCCCTAAAATTCACAACGATATCATTCAGAAGACATTCATCCCCAAAACGTTATATATATATATATATATATATATATAATTCTTTTGTTAACTGCTTTCACCTAATACGGTTAAACGACTAAAATTTTATCACACCAACTAGGCCCTCATAATGAAGTCACTTGTAGCTGGGTTCATGCTATAGCCGAGAGAGCTAATCTGTCAATCACATAACCGACAGAACAAGAGTTCGAACCCCAGCTTTGGCACCTCAATATTTCCTCCATTCTCTTCAACGCATGAAAAGTTTCCAGTAGCCTGAATTCCCTAATTTGTGACCTTGGACTATTAGAATACCATACTCTCATTCTCATACGGATAGCAGTTCCATAAAGCTGCTTAGCATAAGGAAGTCTTGTGTTTCTATTTCTTATAATAGGTGAAACAACCAGATAAACAAATTAACCCACATTTCATGGTTTATTTCATAAAATACAACTAATTCCAATTTTCATTACCTAACGAAAGGCCAAGCTTCAATGTCCAGCGAAATTTCATTTTTAAGGTTTTGAAACCATGCCAGTTATAAAGGGTTGAAAAATAGCAAAGTTCTGTATTCATGGTTTCATAAGAATACTAGCTGTTAGCGGTTTTTAAAATGGTAAAGGTAAAAAATGCTCTTTGCCGTAAACTTTACCGTTAATCGGATGGACAGGATGCTGCCTGTTATTTTACCCTAATTTTTGAAAGAAAGTTTTATTAGTGAAGATAAAAAAAAACCCAATTACAGTGTCGTAGAATGAGAAAAAAGAAAATCAATACAGTGATAAAAAATTTAGACATAATTTCTTAAAAATACTAAATGCATAGCAAAAATATCAAGGTCTTTAGCAAATTCGTTAAAAATGCTGTAAAGTTGTAAGCTAGCTAGGTCTTATTGCAAATTATTTGCATCAAAAATAATATTTATAAACTTCGAAATTTTAATATTATCTGCTAAAATTAAATATTTAGAATTTTTAAGAGAATTTTTCACTGAGGTCATTTAGAAATAAAATGAAGAGCAATGACGAAAGATTTGAATCCTGAGGTACTATAGAACTACTTCTAAAATAGATATATCTAGACATAATACATAAATAAAATTAAAGAAGAAAACAAAAACTTTTAT